CCCACCTTCCCTTAGGGCATATACCAACGGTTAGCTGACTGCCTACCCAACTCTCATCAAGATTCACTAATCCAAAATTCTCAGAAGGCACAAAACCGAACAACATAATTTCAAAACACCACAATCCAATGCTATATACAATGGAGTCATTAATGATTCAAGTTTAGAATACAAGTCAAAGTATTCAATTTTACACAAATACATATGAGATTTACTAATACAGAGGAAAGCAAGGATAACGGAATGAATTTTTTCTCAATGAAGTACCACAAGGTCATGCAATCAGAAATAAACGAGAAAACAAAATCAAATAGATCAGTCATTAAGTTATCGAACATGAATATCAATTAAAGAAACAAACAAACACCACAACTAACACAGAGTGATTCAGATAAAAGGATACAGTTAGCTCTCGGGAACTACATTCCTAGTCACAGTAGTTTGATCCAAACCCGTTGACACTCCGCCAACGTTTAGAGAAAACATTGTCCGTAGATCACCGCTTTACACCAATTTTCGTCCACAATTCATTCCCCTTACATGGCCAAAATGTGAGAACCCTTAGTTAAAAATATAAATTCTCCTAAATCACTTGCATTGCCCTAAGACTAAATAAATTGTAACATTTTCTTGCATTGCATTGCATTGCCTTTCTACATGAATTGTAACATCTCCTTGAATTGGCACCATTTTATTTCACTATATGCACTATGACCAAATACCTTTTAATTGTGTTTAAAACCTTATGTGAAAGTTTAAGGGTGCTAATTAGACATTTGAAGCACTTGAAGGGAAGAAACATTATTTGGCAAAATTTAAGGGAAGGATTGGCCAAGATTGGGTCAAGTGTCAATGTCCAAACCACTCAAACAAATTAACCAAGAAAATTAGCAAAATTCAAACCTTTTTCGCCCCATTTTTTTTCTTTGCTTGGCCAGCCCTCTTGAGCTCCAAAAAGAAAAGAAAAAATTTCATTTTCTTGCTTGAAACCCTAACTTGGACTTTGAGAAAAAACAAAAGAAAAGGAACCTTAGATAGTTTGAGAAAACTATCTTCAAGGCTTGCTTGTGATTCAAGTTTAGAACTCTTGCTTTGGTAGACTTTTGGACGGTTCAAACTTCATTTAAGAGAGGTAATTGATCCTTAAACCCTAGCTTTATTGTTTAATATCAGGTTTTTAAGGTATTGATGACAAACTAGAAGTAGGGTTGATGTTGTTTGTGATTAAATTCTTTGAGTTAAGTAAGTGGAAGTAAGGTTGGATGTATGGCATGCCATGTGTTTGATTCTTTGCCTAAACTTTGTTTGTGATTTTCCTTGATGTATTAGCATGTTAATGAACCCTATTAAAGTTAGAAATAACTCTTGAAATGCTGGCTAAGTTAAAAATAATGAAAGGATGGAGTTTGGTGGTGAATGTGAACTTGGAACTGCTCTCTTTTCTCCTTGCTAGCCGGCCATTGATTGAAGGTTTTTCCTTGATCTTTGTGACTTATTGAACCTTAATTGAACTTAAGAAACTTGGCTAAACATTGGTTTAAGCTTGTGTGTGAATTGAGGTGAAATGGAGCAAGTAAATTAGGTGATGTTGTCAAAGTCCTAAGCTGATCAGAACAGGAAAATCAGTCAACTTCCCCGGATTTCTGGTATTGATAGAAGAGGAACTAGAGTTTGAATCTTATACCGTTGGAAATTCTTTCGAGTCTAGTTTTCAACGCCACCAATGGTGCACGATTCTGACTTTTTTAAAATGAGATATGGCCATTTTTTCGAGACTACGCACGCGCGACTGTTATACCCTAGAAAACCCTTTTGAACTTTAATGAAATTTTCCTTTTACTCAACTTTCTTACAATTGTCAAACTCATTTTCTTATAACATTTTCCTACATTTTTTGTCTAACTTGCATTGTAAATTGAGTCGATTAACGACCCACTTGGTCACCCAATGAACTTACGTTTGGGTTGAAAAGTGAATCTAGAATATTAACGACTTTTACTCGTTGCTCTAGGATTGGGAAACAAAGGTGAGGGTAACCACGAGACTTGATGGACAAAGTCTGCATTTCTTAATAGATGAGTGTTCCACTACCTATTACCTGTCTAAGTGAGATATCTAAATACTTGGTTTATGATTGTTTGATCTAAACATTTGATTTGACAAACTTGAGGTGAGCGTGTACTTTATCACACTTGACCTCCTTCGATTCTACTGAAGCTCTGTATACTGATAATTTAAGATGTGATTTTCTCTATATTTGACTATACGTCGTTTGGGTGATCTCCCATCAACTACTGTGACTGTTTGAGTGCCCAATCTCATAGGTGAGTCGGTTGTATCGAACCAGCAAGGGTTTGGTCGAGAAGACCGATGAACCCTGGGGACTATTTACTGAAATCCGGAAACTGGTATACTCGAGTATTACCTAATTATACAGTTTGAGGTGTTCGGATTTGATAAGGGGGTGATTGGTAGACGAAATTTAGAGAAAATTGTGCTCTATGGACATTAAATTCTTTACATGTAAACGTTAACGGAGAGTGAACAAATTCTCGATACGATCAATCTTAAGTGGATTCAGTTTTTGGAAGTCACTCGTTTTCTTAAATTGAATTGTGATTAAATTGTTCCAGTATAATACTGTGTTTACTTGTTTATATTACGCCTCTAATTGGTTATACGCCTACATGTTTATATGGAGTCTCACTGATTTTTAACTCACCCCATTTTCTTTTATTTTCCTTAACAAATCTGTGTTGGGGCTGTTATCAAGAACCTGCGTAGCCTTAAATTTTATCTTGAACTTGTACTTTGGGTTGTAATCCTTTTGTTTAGAAAACATTATCTTTGACTCTGGTAAACTTGAATTTGTAAGTTTGGCACTTATTATGTAAATTAAGTTTGGGATTGTAAGTTTGACATTTACCTCTATATTCTAAGTTTGGGAAGTTGGCGTGACGATTATATTTTCCTTATCGGTTGTAACATTTACTTCAAAAATATTTCGCTAGTTTTCTTGAATTGTTGGTTCATTAGTTGACTGAGTCCTAGCAAGAGTTGGACAGGCAATTCACTAATCCTTAGGGTTCGCCTTGGGGAGAGGTGGGGTTGTCGCAGGTGGTATCAGAGCCTAGGTTTGAATTGGTTTGGACGTATTTGAAATTTTCGACCTTAAGATTATATATGATCTTTTTCTCTTTTGTTAAGAATATTTAAACTTTTATCTATACTTTGTGTATGATGGACGGATCTAGTGGCCCTAGCGGATGTTAATGCTAGGTTTGAAGCTGAATTGAATTAATTAAGGGAAACTATAAAAGTGCAAGCTGACAGGATTGAAGAACGTGAGGCTGACATGATTGAGGGCCAGGAAAGGATCAATGATCTTTGTGCGCAACTTGGAGAAGCCCATGAGCAATTGGTTAGGGGAGCGATGAAGGTGAGCGCTAGAGCTGAGTCCATCCTGAATATTTGTGGAGATCTACTTGAAAAATTAAGTGACGAGACTTCAAACATGGGAGACGACTCAGGAGCTGAACCTGTCCAAGATGGGAGGTCATCTAGTTCTACGGCGGATTAAGTCTTGACTGTTAGGTTATCATTTTTGATGATTTTAAACATTGTAAATAGGAAGGATAGGAGGATGTGATGACTCGGTGGTTGTACAATTTTCTTTTGACTATTTACTTTGGCTTTTGTATGATATGGCTTGATGGACTATATCTGTACTTTTGGGCCCTGTGTTTGTTTCTTTTGGCCTTGTTAGCTTGTAAATAACTAATATTAGTCTTTGAATGTATATTGATTTTGACTTTGACTTTGACTTTGTTTCGATTTTGACATTTAAATGATTTGTGTTTTACTTGCCTATCATGATTTTGATTTTATTTTTCTTTGACTTTTTGATTATGAATAAATATCTATTATATACAAATACTTGCCCCCCACTTATTTATAATACTTGGATCCTAGACCAGTGAGCAATAATGGATGGTAGATGACAACGTGGTCGGGGTCGTGGGCGTAGACTCAAGCAAGCCCGGGATCAAGAAGAGGAACAAGGATATGTAGCAAATCAGAACCAGGGATCTAGAGCTGAAGAAGGGGACCAGATAGTTACGGTTATCAATTGTATGACTGACTTATTAGCCCGATTAGTTGACCAGCAAGGTCAAGTACCTGGTAATTAGCAAAGGGACCCTAAACTAGATGAGAATAGGGCCCTAGAACGGTTTCAAAAGTTTTCTCCTCCTAAATTTTTTGGAAGACAAAATTCTGAAATTGCTGAGAATTGATTTGAAAGAATGGTGGACATATTTACTGTATTACACTATATTGAGGAAAGACAAGTGACTTTCGCCGTTTTCCAGTTGGAAGGCGCGGTCCATTCCTGGTAGAACGTAGTAAGGACAAAATGGGACAGAGAACAAACTCCACGTACTTGATTTAACTTCATTAAGAAATTTAATGAGAAATTTCTTCCACCTTTAATTCAGGAGAAAAGAGATGATGAATTTATCAGACTGCGCCAAGACACTTTAAGTGTGGCAGAATATGAAATTTAATTCACCAGACTCTCTAAATTTGCTCCGGAGCTAGTGGTTACTGAGTAGAAATGCATAAGGCGATTTGTACAGGGTTTGAATGTGAAAATCCAAAAAGACTTAGTCGCAACTCAAATTGATACTTTTAGCGATTCTCTTGAGAAAACTCAACGAGTGGAGCAGGTCCGATTTCAAGTTCGAACTTTTCAAACAAAAAGACGAGATGCATTTAGTAGTACTATGGGGCGAAATGATCAGAATGTACTGTCTCCTAAGTTTGGAAGAAAAGCGGGTGGAGCTTGAATCCCAGGGACACTGAAAAGAGCTCATCAAGAGGGGCTCAAAGCGAGAGAGGACAACAGAGGATAGCCTTAAGGAGGCCCTGCATTAGTTCCTCGGGTGAATTGTGGGTATTGTGGTAAGGCAAACCATACCAAGGATACTTGCTGGCGAAAAATGAAGAAATGTCTCCGTTGCAGTAGTTCAGAGTATCAGATCGCAGCCTGTCCTGTTAAACCCCGTAAAGGAAATAAAAGTTCGCAACTAGAGAAGCCAAACCCTAAGCAACCTACTGCCAGTGGGAGTAGACCGAGAGTCTCTGTTAGGGTTTATGTCTTGGACCATCAGCAAGCTCTCGAGTCATTTGAAGTAGTGGAAGGTACGATCCCTGTATTCCACCGCTTAGCTAAACTTTTAATTGACCCTGGAGCAACCCATTCTTTTGTAAATCCTGCCTTCATGTGCGGTATTGATATAAATTCCATTAAATTACCCTATGACTTGGAAGTTAGAACACCTACTGGGAATCAAAACCTAATTACCAACATGATTTATCAAAATTGTGAGGTTTGGATAGGAGAACGGAAGTTGGTGGTAGATTTGATAAGTTTAGATCTCAAGGGGTATGACGTGATTATAGGAATGGATTGGTTGGCTAGTTATAATATTCAGTTGAATTGCAAGACTAAGGTGGTGGAGTTCTGTATAGTAGGAGACGCGACCCTAAAATTGGATGTGAAAGGTAGACTAGTCTCGTCTGCACTTTTTTCGAAAATTCGAGTAAAAAAATTATTGAATAAAGGAGCGCAGGGTTATTTAGTTTTTCTAATTAATACTCCTGGAGATAAGGTGAAACTGGAAGATGTGTTAGTGGTAAATGAATTTTTTGATATTTTTCCTTTCGAGTTGAAGTCGATGCCGCTAGAGAGGGAAATAGAATTTAGAATTAATTTGGTGCCTGGAACCACTCCTATTGCGAAAACACCATACCGAATGGCACATGCCATGTTTAAGGAACTAAAACTGCAGTTACAGGATTTGTTAAAGCGCGGGTTTATTCGAAAAAGTGAATCATCTTGGGAGCACCTGTTTTATCTGTCAAAAAGAAGGATGGTAGTTTGAGACTCTGTATAGACTATCGCGGCTTAAATGATGTCACGGTGAAAAATAAATATCCTTTGCCGCACATTGACTAGTTGTTTGATCAATTAAAAGGAGCAGTGATTTTCTCTAAATTGGATTTGAGGCAGGTTTATTATCAGTTAAGAATTAAGTAGGATGATATACCGAAAACTACTTTTAATTCCAGATATGGACATTTTGAATTTGCAATGATGCCTTATTTGAACCAATTTATCGTGGTATTTATAGATGATATCTTGGTATACACTAAAACTCAGGAGGATCATGAACGGCATTTGAGAATAGTTTTGCAGACTTTGAGAGAATATCAATTATATGCCAAGTTTAACAAGTGTGAGTTTTAGTTGGAGCAAATTTCTTTTCTACGACATATAATATCTAAAAATAGCATTTCTCTGGACCCAGTGAAAGTAGAAACCGTAACTGAGTGGAAACAGTCAGAAACCCCAACTGAGATCCGTAGTTTTCCTGGATTTAGCAGGGTATTACCGTCGATTTATCAAAGATTTTTTCAATTTAGCAGGACTTTTAACCAATCTAACGAAAAAGCATGGTCAATTTGTTTGGGATTCTAAGTGTGAAATTAATTTTTGAGAATTAAAGAAACGGTTAATTTCGGTGCCAGTTTTAACCTTACCAAATAGAAAAGACAGTTTCGCTGTATATACTGACACCTCAAGAGAAGGATTGGGATGTGTTTTAATACTAAATAAAAGTGTAATTACCTATGCCTCTAGGAAATTAAAATCCCATGAGCGAAATTACCCGACTCATGATTTGAAATTGACCGCTGTAATTTTTGCTCTAAAGAAGTGGAGACATTACTTATATGGAGTGACTTTTGAAATTTATACCGACCATAAGTATTTGAAATATCTATTCTCTCAAAAGAAACTAAACTTGAGACAACGTCGGTGGGTAGAATTTCTTGAGGATTATGACTGTACAATTAGTTACCACCCCAGAAAAGCCAACATCGTAGCAGATGCTTTAAGTCGAAAAGTTCAGGTGGCTGGATTAATGATTATAGAATCGAATTTGTTGAAAAAAAAGTGAGTGAATGGAATCCGCGATTGGACCGACAGAGAGTGATCTTGAAAAATATCACGGTGAAATCTAATTTATTAGACCGAATTAAAGAAGGTCAGAAGAATAACCAAATGGTACAAAAATGGGTAGAAAAAGTGCAACAAGGAGAAATACTAGACTTTAATATGAGTGCCGAGAATATTTTGAAATTTTGTGATCGGGCAGTGGTGCCGCAAGATTAAGTGCTAAAAAGGGACATTTTAGAAGAGGCACATCGATCTAACTATACAGTACATCCCGAGAGCAGTAAAATGTACCAGGATCTGAAAGGACTGTATTGGTGGGATAACATGAAAAAGAAAATTATTCAGTTTGTCCAAAAATATTTAGTATGTCAACAAGTAAAAGCTGAACATCAGAAACCCTCAAATCTTCTACAATCTCTTGAAATTCCTGAGTAAAAATGGGAACATGTTACCATGAATTTTGTATCATAATTGCCCTGTACCCAAAAAGGTCATGACACCATTTGGGTAATAGTTTACAGATTGACTAAGTCTGCTCATTTCTTGCCTATCAATATGAGATACTCCTTAAAAAAATTAGCCCAATTGTACATGGATGAAATAGTGAGATTGCATGGAATCCCAGTGAACATTGTTTCCGACAGAGATCCATGGTTTGTGTTTCATTTCTGGCAACAATTACAAGAAATCTTGGGGACCAAGTTGAACTTTAGTACCATTTATCATCCCCAAACTGATGGACAATCAGAGAGAACCATTCAAATACTTGAGGACATGCTAAGAATTTGTATTTTGGATTTTGGTGGAAGTTAGGGGCAGTACATGGCATTAGTTAAATTTGCACACAATAATAGTTATCACTCCTCCATACAAATGGCACCATACAAAATTCTCTATGGAAGAAAATGTCGATCACCAATATATTAGGATGAAATAGGAGAAAGAAGGGCTTTAGGCCCAATCGTAGTACTATGGATCGAGAATGCCCATGAGAAGGTGAAAGTGATACGTCAGAAGGTTTAGACAGCGCAAAGCCGACAAAAGAGTTACGCAGATAATCAACGAAAGAATTTGGAGTTTGAAGTTAGGGATAAGGTATTTTTAAAGGTTACACCACTTCAAAATTTCGCAGTGGAAAAAGGAAAGAAACTTTAATCGAGATACGTGGGACCTTTCAAAATTCTTCAACAAGTAGGGAATGTGACATATCGATTAGAGTTACCAGCGAGTCTACTCAGGATTCATGACGTATTTCACGTTTCTATGTTAAAAAAGTATCATCCAGACCCCACTCATGTATTGAAACCAGAAGAAATTGACCTTGACGAATCTCTGACTTATGAAGAAAAATCGGTACAGATCTTAGATCGAAAAGTAAACGAATTGAGAACTAAGCAGATACCCTTGATAAAGATTTTGTGGAGAAATCATGAGGTAAAAGAACTTACTTAGGAAGTGGAAGAAGAAATACGAGCAAAGTATCCTGAGCTATTTAGTAATCAAGATGAGAATTTCGAGAACGAAATTCTTTTAATGGAAAGAGAGTGTGAGAACCCTCATTTAAAAATATAAATTCTCCTAAATCACTTGTGTAATGATCCCACATCGGCTAGGGAGGAAGTCCTGGGGCTGCTTTAATAGCCTGTAGTGGTCTCTCCCACCTGACCGAGGCCTTTTGGAGGGGTGCTGGGCTTCTTGACCTGCGGGCTTGGGCTCTTCACTTGTTGTGGGTATAACCCCACCTCCGGGAACAAAATTCACAGCCCAATGGGGTGGTTAACTGTGGGACAATATTGGTCAGGGGCGTTACAGTGGTATCAGAGCCGACTCCCGACCCCGGTGTGCCAGCGAGGACGCTGGGTCTCCTAAGGGGGGTGGATTGTAATGATCCCACATCGGCTAGGGAGGAAGTCCTGGGGCTGCTTTAATAGCCTGTAGTGGTCTCTCCCACCTGACCGAGGCCTTTTGGAGGGGTGCTGGGCTTCTTGACCTGCGGGCTTGGGCTCTTCACTTGTTGTGGGTATAACCCCACCTCCGGGAACAAAACCCACGGCCCAATGGGGTGGTTAACTGTGGGACAATATTGGTCAGGGGTGTTATAACTTGCATTGCCCTAAGACTAAATAAATTGTAACATTTCCTTGCATTGCATTGCATTGCCTTTCTACATGAACTGTAACATCTCCTTGAATTGGTACCATTTTATTTCACTATATGTACTAGGACCAAATACCTTTTAATTGTGTTTGAGACCTTATGTAAAAGTTTAAGGATGCTAATTAGACATTTGAAGCACTTGGAGGGAAGAAACATTAATTGGAAAAGTTTAAGGGAAGGATTGCCCAAGATTGGGTCAAGTGTCAATGTCCAAACCACTCAAACAAATTGACCAAGAAAATTAGCAAAATTTAGACCTTTTTGGCCCCTTTTATTTCTTTGCTTGGCTAGCCCTCTTGAACTCCAAAGAGAGAAGAAAATTTTCATTTTTTTGCTTGAAACCCTAGCTTGGACTTTGAGGAAAAGCAAAAAAGAAGGAACCTTAGATAGTTTGAGAAAACTATCTTCAATGCTTGCTTGTGATTCAAGTTTAGAACTCCTGCTTTAGTGGACTTTTGGATGATTCAAACTTCATTTAAGAGAGGTAATTGATCCTTAAACCCTAGCTTTATTGTTTAATATCAAGTGTTTAAGGTATTGATGACAAACTAGAAGTTGGGTTGATATTGTTTGTGATTAAATTCTTTGAGTTAAGTAAGTGGAAGTAAGGTTTGATGTATGGCATGCCATGTGTTTGATTCTTTGCCTAAACTTTGTTTGTGATTTTCCTTGATGTATTAGCATGTTAATGAACCCTCTTAAAGTTAGAAATAACTCTTGAAATATTGGTTAAGTTAAAATAATGAAAGGATGGAGTTTGGTGGTGAATGTGAACTTGGAACTATTCTCTTTTCTCCTTGCTGGCTGGCCATGGATTGAAGGTTTTTCCTTGATCTTTGTGACTTATTGAACCTTAATTGAGCTTAAGAAACTTGGCTAAACATTGGTTTAAGCTTGTGTGTGAATTGAGGTGAAATGGAGCAAGTAAATTGGGTGATGTTGTTAAAGTCCTAAGCTGATCAGAACAGGAAAATCAGTCAAATTCCACAGACTTTTGGTATTGATAGGAGAGGAACTAGAGTTTGAATTTTATACCGTTGGAAAGCCCTTCGAGTCTAATTTCTAACGCAACCAACGGTGCACGATTCTGACTTTTTTACAGTGAGATATGGTCATTTTCCCGAGACTGCACGTGCACGACTATTATACCCGAGAAAACCCTTTTAAACTTGAATGAGATTTTTTCTTTTGTTCAACTTTCTTGCACTTGTCAAACTCATTTTCTTATGACCTTTTCCTACATTTTTTGTCTAACTTGCATGGTAAATTGAGTTGATTAACGACCCATTTGGTCACCTAATGAACTTGCATTTGGATTGGAAAATGAATCTAGGATATTAACGACTTTTATTCGTCTTAGGACTGGGAAACGAAGATGAGGATAACCACAAGACTTGACGGACAAACTCTGCATTTCTTTACAGGTGAGTGTTCCATTGTCTATTACCTGTCTATGTGAGATATCTGAATATTTGGTCTATGATTGTTTGATCTAAACATTTGATTTGATAGACTTGAGGTGAGCGTGTACTTTATCACACTTGACCTCCTTCGATTCTACTGAGACTCTGCATACTGATAATTTAAGATGTGATTTTCTCTATATTTGATTATACGTCGTTTGGGTGATATCCCATCTACTATTGTGGCTGTTTGGGTACCCAACCTCGTAGGTGAGTCGGTTATATCGAGCCAACAAAGGTTTGGTCGAGAAGGCTGATGAACCCTGGGGACTATTTACTGAAATTTGAAAACTGGTATATTCGA